ATGATGTTCACGTTGGCTGAGCTCGTAGCCTTGCTCTCTCGAAGGGGCATTAAGTACTCACTCAAGTACCACGACAGCAACACAATACGGACATTTACTTTGTGTGTTAGTTTTGTCATTTCTGAAGGAGGATGTCTGCTTTGCGTAGAATATTTCGGGCGATGTAATATCATGGTTCATGTAATTGTCGGGCTTCATTGGGTAAATATGGAGTCAAACGGTTTTGAATTCGAATGAAATTTTTCTTCTATGCAAAAAAAGGTACTAGTGTTTTCAAAACAGGAAGAAGAGCATGATGCCATTTCATTTTTTAAAGGTTTAGTAGGTTTGCACCTTTGTTTCAAAGGACAGTGAATTTAGGTGGTAACGCAGGAGGACCTTGGGGTCGAGCAGAGCTGCAGTCGGAATCTTGGAAATCGGGGGGACAAGGCAACTACGAGGCGCGTTCATTGACACGTCAGACGGCTACAGTTGCGCCACAACACTCTGTTATCCCTTGGCAAGATCCAAAAGTCCTTAATGTTTTAAGCCAAGCCGGCCCGAACCAGTCAACAACTAATGTTCCAATGTAAGCCTTTTTGCATCTCTGTTATTTTTACTCTCATCATCTCGCTGTTAGTTTTTTGAATTTGTTCAGCTAGTGGTAAATGATACATCTTTTTAATTTTTGATTGACTTCTTTCTCATAAAATTTCTGCTGTAGGAAACTAGAATAACTGGGAAGATCTGGGTGATGTGATTTTGAGATTTCGGGCGTTAGAGTTGTAGCTTGCCTTTTACTAATTACATGAGCATTTCTGTGATAGTATTAATTAGCAGTAAGGGTAAAATTTTTGTGAATTTGGTAACGGAGTTATCAGCTTTATCTGTTTGATGAGCGTGTCGGCATAGAAGACTCGAGAAAACTTCAATTGCAGTGGCTTACTTTGATGTAGCCCAATTTACAGCTACAATATTTTTGCTTTTCTCCCATGGGTTGAAAAAAGTGCTGGAATCTCTTCTATTAAAAAAACGTGTGATGATGTTATGTAATAAAAGAATCTCAGTGTGTTTCAGGAAGTGCCAGTTTCAAGTTTTTGAAAGTATAACTTAATACCAGTATTCTGAGGTTGGTAACGTACCATTTTTAAAGCTACAGGACAGTGAGTTAAGAAGTTTTGCAAAATTTTCTGTACCCACAGTGTATTTGCTTGTTTTAGACGTTAGGGATTGGCTTTTTCGTTTTGTGCTTACTGACCTCAGGGGCACAGAAAAAGTTGTTTTGAGCAGCTTTTTATCTCTTTTTGATCTCTAACCCCGACCTAGTGTCTGTGAAGGTGAAAAACATCAGGGAGGAAACTCAAAAAATGTGTTATTTAATATTAAATATTAGATTCATGCAACTTCATGACTGCGGTTTTCACAAGCTTTGCCGCTCGCTGCAGGCTGTTTTAGGGGAGTGGGAGGGAAGAGGATGTGAGATGATGAGTCTTATTGAAAGTGCTTGTTAAGTTTATATTCTTTTTGTCTTTTAGAGTAGGAAAAGATTAAAAAGAACGGTTTTTGAAGTTTGCGGCAAACCTGTTTTTATGATAGTTTTAATATTCACGATAGTAATTACGTTCAGGAGTTGTCCCTTATTCATTTTTGATGGTCAGTTTCAAAAGCATATAATAATTTACTTAGTATTATCTCAGTCATTATATCTGGCTTTTGGCTGTTAAAAAAATGCAGCTTCAGTTATCAGCAGTCAGGACGAGAAGAAAGGTTTAGTCAGCTTGACCAAGATATCTCATTTCAAGGATACAACGCTAGTTTGCAACCGTCACCATCAACTACTGGATTTCCTCAGGTATGGTTTAAACAGTCAGTGATTTCATAGCCTATTTACAGTCAAAATGGCTTTATCTTTCTGAATTTATAATTATTTCTTTAGCAAGATATATCGATGAGTGGAGATGATGGGAGACGTATTCCTGGACAGCTGAATGCCGATACTGCTGTTGCTTCGGTAGATAAAATTTCATAAATTGCTTTTAGCTTTAGGGAAAAAGTCTGTACACATATGATGTGCAACACTGTAGGATAGTATCGTGTAGGTTTACCAGGGAACAGCTGTTGTCCCATCCATATTATCTGGACAGAATTTCTCTTCTGGTACGGGACTAGTTGTACCTCAAGTTCTTGCCAATCCAGTCGCTACAAGTTCCTCTGTTTCTCTTTCTCAGCCATCTCCAATTACTGTAAAAGGCTCGTATCCGTCGTTTGGCAATCATAACGCTCCAATTTTCCCTCCTGTTCCTGTCCGCAGGTACAACACGTGGCTTTTTAAAGTACAAACAACTGCAGTAATCTTATGGAGTATTCATTTTTTAAACAATATTTAGAAGTATTTTCAGGACTGAGAAGTTAGAAAATTGTTATGTGGAGTTAAGTAGATTACCAACGGAACTTTTACGCCCATCTGCCCTTGAAAACTTTTTGAGGCCAACAGTACCGCTTACACTGTCATCTGTAAAAGTGGTTTTTGACCCTAAAGGTTATTTTCTACTTTCGCGTTACTTCCTTTCTTGTTTCTTTACTGTAGCCTCGCACCTTTCATGAAATGCTGAAATGATGTTCCAGGATTTCCGTTACATTCGTTGGTGAAATTCGAAAATACAAAAGATGCAGAAGATGTGCTTAACAGAGATGGAGAGCAAGGAATTCGGTATGACTTCTATTTTTTATCTCGTTCTTGTGCTCAGTAAGGTGTTTGTCTGCAGATTTACTAACTAATCTCTTTTTCAGAATTCGAGAGTGTAGTAAGGAAGTGTTTGATGCAGCTGTTGATGGTTCTGTCCTAAATCTTGCTAATAATTTGTCTTACAAAGGTAATTTCAAGGATATGGAACGAAGCCACGAACATAGTAGAGAGAACGCCCCTAGCACACGTCCTCCTTTACCCAGAAATCATTACTTGACGGTATTTAGGTCTTTACTTTTTTTTTCAGGTAGGTGTTTCATCCTATGTCATTTCTGTTTTAAGGAAAGAAGAGACAGTGGTGGTTTACGTCGTGATGAACGGACACTTCATCCCGAGCACGAGAATGAAGAGAGATTATCTTTTAGGCCACTTCGCCGTGGCCGGTCTCGTTCCCCACGGGATTATCGTGAGCCGAAACGTCGAAGAGAAGAAATGGGTAGATACTGTATTGAACTTACAAATTTACCATTTCGCGTTACAGAGTTAGAAATTCGGCAGTAAGTTTTGTAATTGTTTTTTTTTTCTTTTTCAAATCTGCATCATTTAAGGGAACTTTGTAAGTAGGAAAATCAAAATGCTTTCAAAACACTTGACTGTTTTCAGATATTTTGGACCTCTCTGCGAGCCGACGAAGGTGAATAGAGCTTATTATGAAGATGGAAAACCTTCAGATCGCTGGGTTATTGAATTCCCAAAAAAAGAGCTTTCAGAGAGGGCATTTCGATATAGAGGAAAGGTGCAGGACCGTCTCGTTAGGTCTCGGTGGTAAGGAGATTCTTAGAGACGTGTTAAAATAAGTGGCTACATTTGCGTCGTAGACCCACGTTGTTGAAGTGGTGGATAAAGATAAGTTTGTGCTAAGGCAGGCTCGAAATAATGTGCTTCATGAACTCACTCTTAATTGTTGTGGAAGAGAAGACGTTGTTCACCCCCCTTTACAATGTGATTGAAACAATAATTTAAAGAAGAATTTGTACGCGATTTTTATGAACTATAAGTTTTATTATTTTAAAAACAGCTTTGAAGTGAGGAAAAACTTGTGGCAGTTCATTGATCAGATGATTCCGCTAACTCTTCTCGAAAAAACTTCATTTCAAATCCATTTTATGCGGACTTTACAGAACGGCTTTTGAGCAGATGTTCAATTGTTTGACATCCTGCGTTTTCTTATTCAATAGGCCATATCCGATATCCGATATTTTGCGTTTATTTCAATTTCAGGGGCCTGTAAAATTACGTCTTATATCAGCTCTCTGGTTCCAGAACCTTCTTGTTTCCTGCTTAACAGTAGTACATTCTTGGCAGCAAAACCCTTTGGCTGATATTATTTCTAATTTTTATTTGCACATAAACCGTACTGATTAATTGTACTACTGAAGTGCTTAGGATTGCTTGGTGAAATCTTCATTTTTTGAAAGATAGAAGACCTCAGCAACTTTTAAGCAATTGCCCTTTCAAAAGAAATGCAGTCTTGTGGGCGGACAAGCTACTGCTGGTTCTTTTGGTCATTTTAAGGCTTCCCTTTTTACGATCAGTTTTTCGCCATATACAATCTAATTTAGAAATTTGTTTTGTCACCGGCATTTTAACACTTCTACTTCCTTCCTTTACTATTTTGTAAGAGTGCAGCTTTTCTAGAGGCAGTCATTCCTCATTTCTGTAATTCTTTTTGGAATAACGGGCTCTCTTGCTCAAAGGCGGTAAAACCAAAGATGGATGCGTTGTTCCACTTTCAAATTTATCATTTATAAGAAAATTTTGTACATTAGTTCTTTTTTCATTTCTCAAGGATCAAGAGCACTTCTTGAATACTTTTTTAGACATTGTGGAGAGGTTATCTTTCTGTAAGTCTTCTTCTGAAACTTTAGGAAAAAATTTGCTCCGAAAGCAGCATAATTGGAAGTAATGTTGCTCTGGAGAATGTTTTTTACCTGTCTCTCAAACTTCTTTGCTCAGCAGTAAGCTAATCTTCGTCGTTGCTTTATTTGGCTGAATTAAATATCAATGAATTTGCTAGCAGCGTTTTTTGTCATCTTTTTTCTAGAAATACTGGTTGAGCTTCAGTCACTTCTCTCTTGGTACTTATTCGCCTTCGCCCTTGTCAATTTGTGTAACTCCTTGGCGAGTTCAGATTAGAAATTGTTAGCCATTATGGAAGTTCCATTGGGAAGAATACCAGCAAAAACACGGTTTTCTTAGTTATTGCCGAAGGCTTCAAACTTTGCGTCAACATCTGCCCTTTAACTTCGGGGACTGTATTGTAGATGCATCTATAATTTTTTTGATTCTTGCTTATTTTCTCATTCTCTACTTGTATAGGATCTCGGCGCAAGAAGCAGATGATCTGTTAGCTGTCCCAGATAAATTCGGAATGCAACGTAGAGAGGAATACGAGAAAAAACAATCGCCTGTCGAAGCAGTGAAAGCCTCAGCTTACGGTCTTGCTTCTTTTAACGCTTTTTAAACATTAATGAACAAATAATTAAATAAATATACATATTTATATTTATTTATTTATCTCAGTTTTTTAATTTATTTTACAATATTTATAGGCACTTGTATATATATATA